CCCCAAAACCCCAAAACCCCAAAACCCCAAAACCCCGTAACGCGTTGCGTAATTGAATAATTTTATTACTAATTCGTGTCTTATTGGCTAATCTGTTTACCTGCGTTTTTTGATTTGTCCTAGCCTGGCCTATATAGAAATTAGTCAGAATTGTAGAACCATTGGTCCCTCTAAAATTAGAGTAAATAAGAATTTGCAAGTGCAAATGTCTAAGATAAAACTATTTTATTCATAATATCTATCTCACTGTGAAAACATCTAAATTCTTACCTTCACTTCATTGAGCCTGGCTTGGAGAGCCATCTTAGTCTTCACAGATCCTCCTCCTGGCTTCTCAACTTGCTCCTCAGCTTCATTCTCATTAGGCTCTTTTTCAAGAGGAGATTTATCCTGTAGAGCAGGGCGCTTGAAACTTCCCCCAACTGTGTTGTTCAAACCAGCTTGGGATTTGAGACCTTTTGAATTGATCTTCTTCCATTTGTCTGTGATCGAAGAGTTCATTGCTGCGATAGAATTTCCCAATTTATTATCAGCAGGTGGCTTTAGCCTAGATTTACTGTTTGGGTCTTCTTCTTGGTTGACACTACTAGCCTTCTTTAATCTGTTCTGATATTCTTGCAGCTTAGCAGCTGTTGACTGTCTTTCTCCTCTCTCAGTACCTCTTATCCCTAATTTCTTTGGTGTTTGGAGTTTACTTTCCATCGAAGCTTTGAATGAAGAACTCAGATTCTTCGGGCCACTTAAGCTTGACATCTGCTTTCTCTTCTGTGCTTTGAGAATTCCTGTATGAATAGCAGTTTGCTCTTCTTCGCTTCAATGAGCTGAGAGATAGGCATCGAGGTCAAGCGTTGGGAACTCATTGGTGAACTCTATAATACTTCTAAAGGCTTGGTCAGTTCTGAATTGATTTCCTCATTTCGTTTCACTAATCAAGCTTCTTAGTGTTTCATGGTCATCATTTGATAATCCTCCTGTATATTCTGTTTGCCTTTGAGCAGGAGCAGTTGAAGGTCTTTGTACAGGTGTTCCTCCATTCAGTGAAGCTAAGATAATCTCAATCCATTTCTTGATATAATTGTCAGGAGTGAGGTGGGCATCAACACCTTCATAATATTCCCAAATAGTTTCTTTCTTGAGCTTAACAAGCTCATTGACTATTGTTTTGGTAATACGGATTCCGACATCATCAGACTTTGTCTCTTCCATAGAAGGATTTTTAATAATATATTCGTGGATTGAGAGGAGGATCCTTTCAATATTAACTTTGTCAATTAGCTGATCCATTATCCTTGTCACTTTCAGTAGACATTTCACAATGATTCCATTTAATTTTTCTATTTTAGAGTATCCTTTATATTTCTTCAGAAGAGTAAGGAAAATAATAAACACATCTGTTGGATGGCTATGTTTTAGTATTTCAAGAATAGCATTGTTGAGGTTCCTAAACATTGCTTTTCCTTCTTTACGCTCTCCAAGATCATCAAGTCCAGGAATTAATAATTTTAGCAGAAGTTGCTCAACTAAAGCCAAGAGTTTTTGCTCTTCCACATTTCTGATAATCTCCTTCATCGAGCATATCTTATTGAGAATTGAAATGAAATATTTTCCGAATTTCAGAGGAATTTTTTCTGTTGTTTTATTGAAGACATCATATAAAACCTTGCTCAGAGAATCAATTAGGAAAGCTGAGTTCTTCAAGAGGCTATTTATAGCTTCATTGACTTTCACAGTAATTCATTCGTTAATGATCACAAGAGCATCAACTTTACCACTAAGATCTCCATATTTGAGTTGCTTGATATTTTTGCCGATTGAATCTAAATTTTCATCAAGTTCATAGGAAGGATCTTCACTGAGTAGAAGTATTTCCTGAATTACTTCCCCATCTTTAGCTTTATTTTTAATCTTATCAATCTCTCTTTCCAAGTTAGCTTCAAGTTCATTAGTTTTGCGACTGGCTGAACTAATTCTTTCTAGTTTTCTATTGACAGAGCTGTCCTTCCTTCTCCTGGGAGTAGTCATTCCATCCATTTTTCGAGAAATGTTAGAAGATGATTGTACTGATTCTATGTTAGATTTGCTTTCCTCATTATCATTCCTACCTAATCTTCCTAAATTATTGTTAGCTTTAGGCTTACTCTCACTCATTGGAATCGAAGAATTCAGTTTTCCTTTATTGTTAAAACTTTTGTTGAGACTCTTGTTCATACCGCTAGATCTCATACTTCCTTTTCCAACCATTGGAGATTTATCAGCTCTTAAAGTGTCCTTCTTATCTTCAATAGGTGTTGAATTAAGTGAGATACCAAGATGAGCATTGAGACGTGCCATAATTATGTCTTTGGCTTTGGTACTAAGTTTGTCTCCGACTAAAGTCCAGAACTGATCTTCTGTAATCTTGTATATCTCTTCCACTGCCAACAGTGCACCCTGTCTGATTCCATTGTCTCCGCTCTCACACTGCTTTGCAATTACCTTGACATCTTTTTCATTGATGGCTTCGAGCTGGTGGGCCTGCACCATCTGGGCAATGCACTCGCAGCACTCTGCAGTGGTCTTGGTGTTCTTGGAGTTGAGTCCCTTCATCAGGATGCTCATCAGTTTCTTCGGAAAGTATACAGTGCTGTTCCCGACCTTCATGATGATTTCCTTGATTTTCTCCTTCATGATGTTGTTGTTCATGCCGATCTTCTCGACAAGGCAGAGACAGAAGATGTTTCCTTCGGCCTCCATGAACTGGTACTCTCTTTCGATCAAGAAGTTAATGATTTCGTCGAAGAATGTGTAGAGTTCTTTCAAGAACGAAATGTTGGAGATCTCATTCGACTTGATGTAGGCCCACTTGATGATCACATCAATCACTTCGAGGAATGACTCGAACATGTCTTCGTTGTCGAATACAGTCCGGATTGCTTTGATGCACTTCATGTGTTGCTTGAAGTCTGAAGAAAACATTTTGGTTGAGAACACATCTCCGAACATGCTCTTGGCGACTCCTTTGAGTTTTTCAACATAATCTCCACGGATTTCTTCTGGATGCCACCTCTTCTTCTTGTCGGCTTCATTACGCTTGTCTTTGCGTCCGACATCGAGAATCTGGAACTCGAGTTCATCTCCAGCTTTCTTCTTGCCTGCAAGTGCCATGGGCTTCTTGTTGAGTTTTGCATGGATCTCCTGAGCAGTCATTGGAGCAGCAGTCTTCGGCCTGCTTTTGTCTTTCTTGCCTTTGAGTCCTTTGGCCTTGGCTAGCGCAGCTGGAAGAGCTTTGTCAGAAGCGCCTTTGTCTTCTTCGGGCTTTGCTTTGCCTGACTTCACTTTGGCAGGAGCTTCGTCAGCTCCATCGTCACCAATGTCAGCTGCATCGATACACTTGGTCATGAGAGGCTTGACAGAGTTCTGGACGGCAGGCTTCAAGTCTTTGACAATTTTCTTGAAGGGAGCTGGGCCTGTGTGAGGCAGGACTTCAATGATGACGAGTTCGGCCATTCCTCTGATTTTGGGGGCTTTGTCTTGAAGGCAGCTGACGAGTGCTTTCGGGAGACTTCCAAGTTCAGCTTTAGCAATAGAATCTTTCTTTGTGACAACCCAGTCTAGTAACACCGTTCGGATTTCTGGATTATCTTTGACAATTACAGCTCCTACGCTTCCTATCAATACTTCTGCTCCTACAGCATCAGACCACTGCTCAATAGCTTCAAGATTGATTTTCCTCACAAGTGTATTCTTCTCAGATAGTCATCTAAACAAAGGTTTTATAAGCATTGGAGCATATTGCTTAGCTGCTGTTCCTAATGCTACTGCAAATTTTCCTACAAATTCTAGGAAGCCTTTTGCTACACTTTTGTTTGGATCTCCCATTTTAACTTTGAGCAATCCAACAATTTCACTGAGACCATTTGGAAGAATTCTCATATTTGCTTTGTCTAGAATAGCATTCATCTTATCTAAAGCTTCTTTCCTCTTTTTCCATGCATCGTTATTAATCATTGCAAGTAGTTTCTGGCCCCCTAATTCCTTTGAAACATCTGCTCTTGGAATACAATCAAGAGGATCTTCTTCCTTAGTTTCTTCTTCAGCATCATCATTTCTCACAGCTCTCTTAGACTTGAATTCTCCCTTTGCAAGAGGAGTAATCTTATCAAACTCTTTATTTATCACAGCAAGAGTAGAGTCTTTGATATCTTTGAGGAAGGTTCTCACTGACTCTCCCAAATGCTTATAGATTGTGGATAACATTTCGATAGCTGCACTCCTTACTTTAGGATTTTTATTATCACATCCTTGAGTTCCAAGATTAATGATTTCCTTCATTGGCAGACCCCCTGTTCCAAAATCGGATATTATCTGAGAAATTATCTTTCAATTTTCGACTATTATATTTGGAGCCTTAGCTTCAGATGCATGCTTTGTCATACTTTTGACAACTAGAGAAGGAGCCACAATTTCTGAAATAGAAATTAAGGACTCTTCTCATAGCTTCTTATATTTTGTATCACCAATCTTCTCAGCAAGGAAAGGTATTAAAAGAGTGGCTGATTTCTTCGAGAATCCACTTGTTCCTTCCAATAGAGTAGAAATTCCAGCTAGTCATCCTTTGATAATGTTCATATTTTTCTCCTTCCAATCACTCATCTTGATCCTGATGAACCAGATGCAGGCTTCTAGAGTCTCACTTGAGTACTCTTGCCCTATGAACCATTGTGTGAGTTTGGAATATGCTTCCTTTTTATCTTGCCATTTCGTTTCATCAAACTGCTTTACAATGTTTGGCGGAACTCTTTCTTCAACTATAGATACAGCGTCTTCTTTTGCAACCCCAGATCCTGTATCCTCAACTACAACTTTCTCCTTCTTCTCAGGAGGTGGGGCAGAAGCAGAATTGTCAGAAGGACTAACTTTCTCCTCTTCGTGAGGATCAGGATTAGATGATTTAGCAGGAGGAGCTCCTCCGTTGAGTTCTGCCTTTAATTCTTCAAATTTATTGGTAGCCTTATCTTGCATCTTCTTTTGTCTGCTCAGAAAACTAGCAGGTGGACCTCCTCCAGCTTTCTTTTTCTTCTTTTTAGGTTTTGATGCTGGTGATCCTCCCATATCAAAGTCCATTGATTCTTCTTTCTTTTCCTCTTTCTTAGGCTTAGGAGGAGCTTTCTTTTTCTGGACTCTCGGCTTATCATATTTGGTTAGCTGATATTCTCCAGAGGCTTCATTAACTTTATCAAGCTTCTGCTGATTAAAATCACCAAGGTATTTTTCTATATCTGCTGCAAGTCTTCCTTTAAATAAGCCGATGGTTTTTAGACTAAGCTCTCTTACAGATCCATCTTGATGAGCACCTAGTTTGACAAAAGCAGGGACAATAGCCCCGTATATTTTCTTCAGATCGTCTATATAGGTCTGCCTAACTACAACCTGGTAATATTCAATGGTGGTTTTCACAATCAATGGGCTTCTATCTTTTAGAGTTTCTTCAAGAATTGGAATTAAATCATCAATTATAACTGAATTTAACAGTTTTTCTCAAGTTTCATTCACGTTTTGGATGATGCTTGGCTTTTTCTTCATTTTCGAGAGCATTAGGCCTAAAATCATTTTAGCCTCTTCAGCAAAATCTTTCTTGAGTCCAACTGCCAGAAATCCTATAGCCTTGACAACTTCATCATAGACATTCATGTTTGAATCTGTTACTAATTTCTTGAGGACTTGCATCACGTTTGCTTTATTTGGATTTGGAAGGATTTTTGCAGTATTAATTTCTTTGTTTAGCTCTTCCAATTTTTCCTTCTTTTCAGTCCATTTCTTTGATGCAAGAGTAGCTTCAGCCCAGGATGCATCAAATTTAGCAAGGGCATCTTTATCTTCTTCAAGATCTAGTGCCTCCATTGCTATTTTCTCTTCCTCCTCTTCTTTTGCTCAAATTTCATCTATTTCAGCTTCCTTCTTTCTCTCTTCTTCAGCAGCAGTCATACGGGATGGCTTCGGCTTTCCTTCACCACTTTCATCAAACTTCTTAAATAATTTACTCAACTCATCCTGTTGGGGTTTATTGAGCTTATCTACAGCGGGTTGGATTGCACCTCCTATCCACTTGTAACATTCTTCATAGAATGACAAAGCTAATTGTCTGACTGCAGCATTCTTAGACCCAACAGCTTTCTCAAAAGGACCAAGTAATTCTTTGAGAGGGAATTTTGCAATGCCATAACATTGAATCAGATGGATCATTAATTTTACTCCAGCTCCAGCTGCCTATATTTAGTGTAAGACTAAATGAAGTAACTGACATATTCTATTCTTACCTTGACATTTGTTCCCTTTACTCATTTGCAAATAGCTTGACTAATTGTACCAAAGTCTTCCGTATTATCTACAAGACATCAAATTGCTTCCATTCCTTTATCTTGTAAGACCGGTTTTAAGTGGGAGATACTTTTAGTAATTATTAGATCCACATAGGTAGCAATCAGCTCAGATATTACTCCTGGGTCAGCTTTCTTGGCAAATTCTGCAAAGCATTCGACAGCTTTTTCTAATGCGCCGGGGTTATTATCTTTCAGGTATTTATTTGAAGCCCTCTGCCTGCTCACCTATCAGAGAATCTTTTCCGCTAGAAATCTGTTTGAGCTTTTCACCTAATTCTTCATAGCCACTTGCTCTTTCATTCCACTTCTTTGAGACTAATTTATCCTCCATGGATAAATTTGAAGGCTTACTTTGAGGTGGTTTCTCGTCTGGGAATTCAGATCCAAACGGATTGCTTGCTCCAGGTCCTGATGATTGTCCAACTGGTTGATCTTCAACTTCCATTATTTGAAATTTAATATTATTAGTTTTGGTTCATTTTTTATGAAATTGAAAGGGGTTTTGGGGTTTTGGGGTTTTGGGGTTTTGGGGTTTTGGGGTTTTGGGG